AAGGTTTGAACCACGCACACTGGGAAGGTCCCCTGCACTTTTCGATGAGTGTGGTGGGATCTTTAACATGCTCAAGGTGTGGCTGTCCTCATACAGTGTTCGAAATACCTGTCTGCAGTCTGCAATTTGCAGATAGATTTTCAAGATTGCAGAAGAAAAATTTATACAATCTGCAATTTTGCAGAAGGAAAAATAGACTCCAGATTCAATAGTTTTCAATTTAGCAAACTCTCTGGCCCCAAGGACAGACAACACAATAAGCTCCTGTTTTGAAACAACAGGAGCTTATTCCCTAATTTGCATCATCCTTGTCTTGACTTGTCTATCTTTTGTTTCCCTTTGGACTTCCAAAAAGTTGTCCTCACTAATTTGCATATCAATCAATAATTTTTGCTTATAAACCTGCAGTTCTCCTTCAGTCTCTTAGTGTCACTGATGAGAAATATAGTAGTCTGACCGTTTTAGGTAGCACCAAAATTATATACAGCTACTTGAGTAACTGTTTTTTTGTATGTCTTTTATTAGTATGTTTTAGTATGTTTTTTGCAGAAAGTATTTCCAAATTGCAGAACAAAATTTGGACTCTTCTGCAATATTGCAGAGCACTGAAAAAAAGTATTTCGACCACTGTCATACATGAATGTGTCCCTATCCGAAGCTAAGTTTATTTACACCTGAGTCAAGTGATGAAATAGGACTGGTGTTAAGTGCCTTTCCCATTAGGACACAACAATGCGGTCTGCCAGGGACTCAAACCCAGAACCTTCAGATTCAGAGTCAACAACCCTAACCACAAGACCACCTTGACACCTTTTAACCTCATTAAGATCTTACTAAAGGTGGATGCAATTGTAGGTATCCATTTATGGAGTTTTTGTGCTGTAAAGCAATGGTCTCTGTCTCTCTCCCGGCGGTGTAGGCCCAAGGCTCGCTCAGCCAGCTCCATCATCCTGAGAGGTGCCAACGACTTCTACTGTGATGAGATGGAGCGGTCTGTGCACGACGCCCTGTGTGTGGTCAAGCGTGTCCTGGAGTCCAAGACCATCGTACCCGGGGGCGGGGCCGTGGAGGCCGCACTGTCCATCTACCTGGAAAACTTCGCCACTTCTCTGGTCAGTTTCTCGGATACAGTATTTTGTATTTTGCACAATCATACAAAGTTCTACTTTGGCAATCTCTAGCATTACCGTACAACACTATACAGTGTAACAAAGTAAAACTTACATGAGGACACTTAACTTCTTAAGGTCAATGTTGGAAAACCGATTGTACAATGTTTAATCACTCAGGTGTCAGATCATGGAGCTAGAAAAGGTCGCTCAGCTCGAAAAATTTATGTCCCTTGAAGGAGTCTACACAAAAAAAGGCTAAGGTCGGCAGTTTTTCCTAGGCTCGTTTGGGAAACAGGAAACACATTTTTTCCTAGGCCTTGGTTCTTAGGTATTGTTCTCACAAAGAACAGAAATATCCCCTGAAACGATTGTCTTCTCCATTTTGCAGGGATCGCGGGAACAGTTAGCCATTGCGGAGTTTGCCCGCTCGCTGCTGGTGATTCCGAAGACGCTGGCGGTGAACGCGGCACAGGACTCGACGGAACTGGTCGCCAAGCTGCGGGCCTACCACAACACCTCACAGATCAACACAGAACGCAGCAACCTCAAATGGTCAGTAAAGCTTCAAATATCACTGAATTTGGAGATGTTTACCTAGTTTCCTTTTTTTCAGTGAAGTACATGTATGCATGTCCAGACCTCAGACTTCTCCCATTTTAGCATTATGCTCCCAAAAATTAAGTCATGCACCTAGAAATTTTCGATAGGAGCATCTAGTGCTCCCATCAAAACTTGAATGCATTATAATGTCTATATCATAGACTGCAAAACTCAATATCGACGTGACTGAATATTGGTATTTGCGTTCTTGCCCTGATGATGGTACTTCCACTCTGCATGTTTCTATGTACAAAAAGCACAATATTCATGCAATGCCCTGCAACTTAATGTTCGATTTGATGATCTACAATGGACCTTCCTAGTGGTGTGCCTAGATTTTTGCTGGTGCACCCAAATCATTTGTGTTGGGAGCATTGTCAAAAAGCTCCTAAGTCAAAAAGTTAGTCTGGAGCCCTGATGTCTGTCAGTCAAAGATACATTTGAGCTTTTCTTTTTCCTACCTACGGGATAGATTTTGACCAGGTCTCAAAACATACAATATATACTAGAGTTCATGGAACACATGCTTACCTCAGGTATACTGACAAAGCACATACTAGCAGTTAAAAATGTTTAGTCATGACTTACATAAACTTGACTTGACTGCCCCCCTCCCACTCCAGGGTTGGTCTGGACCTGTACGAAGGCACCATCCGAGACAACAAGAAGGCAGGCGTGTTCGAGCCTGCCATGTGCAAGATCAAGTGCCTGAAGTTCGCCACGGAGGCCGCCATCACGATCTTACGGATCGACGACATGATCAAACTACTGAAGGAGGAGAAGGAGGGAGGGGGGTACCAACAGGCTTACGAATCAGGAGCACTGGAGGGTTAATATTATAATAACTAGTCAATTGTTAGGATATTTGTGCTCTTCTGTGTGTGTCATATGCAGTGTTCTAGCCGGCATCCGTCTTTCCGTGGAATTTTGTTGCAAAAAATTTTGCCCAATCCATCATCTTTGATGGACAAAAATTGGCATGTAAGGAGTTGGAAAGACATGCCATTAAACTAAACTTAGTCTTCAAGCAAAATTTGCCCTTCAAAATGCTTACATCAAACAGAACTGAGAAAACGGAAAAACATTTTTAGCTGGCTAGAACACTGGTTATATGTGTTTTTTTGCATATGAATTAGCTAGTATTGATCTATATCCCTTTACACTTTGTTACGAGAGCAAGCCATCTGTGTCCTACATAAGGCATTGAATGAAAGATATAATGATACAATGGTGAATTAAAAACACTGCGACATCAGTTGCAAGAAATTTATTTCATGTATCAGAACTTATTGCTGATTAAATGTGTGACTACAAGAATTTGTGTTGTATTAATAAATGTATTGGCCTTAAAGTTACTCTGTCACAGTCATGATTTTGTGTGTCTTACGTCTGTGATTGCAAGAAAAGTTGCTATGATATGCTTTCCAGGATTGAAGCATTGAGAACAATAATGCAAAATGAGATTTTGAAAAATAATGTATTATTACAATACTTACTACCATAGAAGGGTACCAGTTAGGCATACATTTGTACTCAAAGGAGGAAATACCTGTATGGGAATATCATCTTGGCACTAAATACTCAACTGAAATACTTCAGAAGTCACTGTAAAAGAAACCTAACTAGCTAAAGAAATATGTTGAGTCTAGAACCCTATTCAAGTCGAAGTCCCCCTTCGAAGGCACATCAACTAGCACCTCCATGAGTTTGTCGTGTTTAGAAACCGCGGTTGGAGAAGTCTCGAGTTCGGACGGCAGAGTTCCGTACTCAGCGAGGAGGTACTTTGAGAGGTCCTCCAGGATTGGCTGGCTGTGGAGCACCACGAACTGCTGGCGGCAAATCCGGTTCATGGTGTCCACGGTGCACGCGTGCGTCCAGAAACAGTCGTGGACGGACACGTACTGGATTCCAGCCCTGCGGAAAGACGCACAGTTACTGTCAGATGAAGTAATAAATTCTAACAGTATACAACGCAATATTTACACACGTCAGTCCAATTGAAGAAAGGAATAGTTTGGGCCCTTGTGCAACTACTATAATATAATTGCAATGGCCAAGTCAGTCCGATGCATTTGATTGGCCACTTTAAAATAGTGCATACTGCTTTCTCTGCTTAGCACTCAGCATTTTGAGAAGAGTATGGAAGTCAAACAAACACCACTACCAATGGACTAGCCCCCTGCAGCTGGTGAAGTGCACAACTGGGTGGCCCAAGGGCTACGGAACAGATGGGTGCTGCCGTAAGCCACTATGCTAATACTTGTGGGGAGGACTTTAAATTTGTTTAAATCTCTCTTTCTTTGAGTTTTTAAAATAAAAAGAACAAAAAAAAGAAGGCATGGCAAATTACTTTTTTTAACTTGTGCAAATGTCTTGAAAGCAACAAATTTCAATGAATACACTAATTTTTAAGGTCAATAACAGGGTCCATCTTTGATGTGAAGAAAATATGCATTTGCTTACAGATTTGACCTCAGAAGTAAAATTGGGTCAATGGTCTTCAGTCCCACAGACTGGTTCTAAGATTTTCAGCAAAGGTAAACTGAAGGTTACACATTAAAATTTTGGTACTTACTGTTGGCAATGGAGGGAGGTGAGCATCATGTGAGTGGAATCCAAGGAGTGGATGAAGTTTGGAGGAAAAGCATTCTTCTGTTTGATGATGTCTGGCCGTCTGAACAAAATAAACAGACGGGAGTTAACACAAAACAGCCTATGGGAAGCCAATGCAAACTTTATGACAATTGTTGGTTCCTCTGCTTGCAGGGCAGACACCACATTTGCGTTGCGCAGTAGAGGCCAAAAAATGGGAACACGATTGTAGTGCCTAGTTAATACCTTTGAAAACCTTTTTTTTCTCTTGAAATTTTTTGTCCATTTTGGAGATTTTTGGGCTGGAAGGCACAGGTAGGGTCTAAACTTTCCTACATTTGTCAAGTTTTGTTTATTTCACCAGTTTAGTGGGCGTAGTGAGAGATGTGAGTGGTTAGGTCTTGTCTGGCCAGGCGGATGGGTACCATGGAAAATGTAGGTCAAAGTTGAGGTTTTGTTACTATCATCAGCTGTGGCGGGAATTTGAGATGGTCAACCCCCTGTTTCCTTTCTATTTTTGGGAATCAGACCCTTGTTTCTACCTGGTGCAGAAAAATTTTTGAGATTGAAGTATGGGCAAGTACTTTCATGAGGTGTTGAAATAGTGTATTTAAGCATGTGTTCCTATGGCAAGATCTAATAGTACTGTCTGCCCTGCATTTAAAATGGTTATTTCCAAGTCATAGTTACTTACTCTGAGGTATCACTGGAAACGTTCAAGATGATGTTCTGTATCTCATTTCTGACCTGTAAGAGAAAACAGTTAACCTTTAAAAAGTGTATATCATATTCATATACATGGATAACCTGTCATACAATACTGTAGACTATTATAACCTGTCATAAAACCCATTTTCAAACATGATCTTCATCTTTATTAACCCTACCTACATACATGTACTAACTTTCATCATGATCCATTCACAGCACTGCTAACAAATAAACCGACAAATGCAAAAGGTTCACTGCAGTGATGTAGGAACCTGTTACAATAAAGCCCTTTTTTCAAACTTGACCCTCCTTTTTATTAACCTTACCCACCCACTGAATTCTATTACGATTCAAAGGGTATACAAATAAGGTTTACATTGAAATTCCCCAAGGGGATGTTATCATACCAGTTTGTTCTTGACTTTGTGGTAGGGCTGTACCACTGGAAGGCCGAGGGGGGTTACCCACTGCACAGCCGAGCCAACATGGGAGATCAGGCGGGCACTTTCTGTCAGCCAGTCCTAGATACATTGTACACACAATAAGGAGGATGTTACAAGTCTGTCTGATATCGACATTTACTCGTATTTCGTAGCACTTTTTTATCATTTCATACTTGGAGTGCTTGAAACAGCCCCTGAAACAACAAGCCATGTGAGAAACGAAGAAATGTGTTAGAGATAAAATGAAGAGTGTTAAATCACCATACCATATTCTGTCATTTGCTCAACCTTCATGGCCATGTATATTTCAAAATGAAGGCATTTTCTTTATACAAACTTTTTTTATTCCCATGCTCACTTTTGTTTTGAGGTACACTCACTCACACACACTCACTGCACGGCTTAGCGTCCGTTGTTCCCCGTCATGCAAGGGTTGGACGTCGTGGGGTGTCGTTTGGGTCTGATAGCTACTCTCCAGCTGCTTCTATCTAGCGGGTTGGCCTTCTGCAGTTTCATTTACCATTTACCGTAATCAAATCAAAATGGCCCAATCTAGAGACAGTGTATGTACCTGGATTTCTCTGGCCAGAGTGAAGATCTCTCTCAGGCTCATGAAGACCTTCTTGACCAGGTATCCCGAGGCCTCCCACACGTGGTCCTGCGGGAAGTCTGGGATGTCCTTCAGCTGGCGCTGGATCTGCAGACGGCCGCCGTACCGCGTCACCCCGTAAACTACCGTCATCACCGTCTGTTTCACCACCTACGGACAGACATACAGGTAAACAGGGCATATAGTTTGTGTTCGTAGGCCCTGCGAGACCAGAGTCTAATTTATCTAACATTGATACTGTCTTCCCACTCTACATCTCCCAGCGGGAAGCAACTAGTTCATTACTACAAACAGGGCAAGCCTGTGTCCTTGCACTTGTCCTTGACCACATCTAGAATACGCTAGCGCTGCGTGGGATCCGTACTACAAGGAACATATTCACAAGTTAGAATCGGTCCAGAAAAGAGCGGCCAGATTCGTTTCAAATACTTATGATACTTATGCCAGCACTACCAAATTGGTCACAGATTTAGGGTGGGACACATTAAAGGACAGACGCACAGCAAGTAGACTCACATTACTCCAGAAAGCAAGACACTCAAAAACAGCCCTTCCGGTCAAAACCTTGTTGACGCCTATCCCGCGCCAATCGCGACACTTCAACTCCAACTCATACAAACCACTAACGTTTCACAAAGACTGCTACAAATATTCATATTTTCCACAAACTGTCAGAGATTGGAACATTTTGCCCCAAGAGATAACTGATACTGCGGAACCCACGTTCAACGCTGCAGTACTACAACACCTGAGGACGCAGCAATAGCGCATCGCACAGCTCCCCTGCACGTTTTACCCCAATCTAGGGGTGTTGTGCAGAACCCGTACAAGAACAACAACAAAGAACTACAAACAAAATGGGCGGGAGAGAGGCATAGAGTTGTTTGTTAGTTAGATGTTGTCTCCATGAATCATTATACACTGTTCTTAACGTTCCAAAGATAAATTATAAATAAATTTTAAATATCAATCTCGGGCCTCAATCAATGATGTTGTACATATGTTCCAAACAGGCTACCCAGTAGTAGGTATTGTACATGTACTGCAGGACAATTTGACTACCTTTCTGTTGATGAAGCCGTCCAACACCTGAGCAATCTTCACCCCTTGTTCTGCATCCGTAGCTCGTAGTTTCTCCACCTGTGATGCAACACATACCAAGATGTTGTCATCTCTAAAGACTAAAGACATCCAATGCAATTTCAGTGTGTATCAGTGTTGTCCTATGGTTGTGAGTCTTGGGTAATCACGAAGGACATGGAGAACAAAATCAACTCCTTTGCTACTTCGTGTTACCGTATTATGCTGAACATCAAAAGGCGTGACCGGGTAACAAACGACAGCATTTACAACTTGACCCAAACTACTCCGCTGATTCAGCATGTGCGTCGGAGACAGCTGAACTTTCTGGGACACATCCTGCGCATGCCTGAGGATGAACCTGTTAGACTGTACGCCCTCTACGTGCCCTCTCATGGCAGACGCAGGCGAGGCCGACAGCCTACCTCCTACTTCAAGTATGTCCAGCGACTACTGGGAGATGAGCACAACCAACTAACAGAGAAGCAGATCGCCAACCTTGCTAGCGACAAGGGGCAGTGGAGGGGCAGCTGCCTGCGCAGCAGCCGACCGATGATGATGATGATGATGCAATTTCAGGGCGGCAAAATGGGATTTTCAAAGCCAATTTCCTGCAGTGGTCATTCTTTTGGTGTAGTAGGTTGAATCTATCCTATCCCATAGCATACTGATATCTGTGAGGCAAAAATGTGATGTCACTGACAAAAATGATTTAATTGTTAAACACACACCACTATCAGTGGACTAGCCCCCTGCTGTAGTGATTGCACAACTGTGTGGCCCAAGGGATACAAAGAATACATGGAGATGGGTACTGCCATAAGCGACAATGCCAATGGTTGTGGGGAGGACTTTAACTGCAATAAATCAATCAGCTCCGTTGCTTGACTTTTCATGATTAACCCTCACCTGCCGGGCTACTCCACTGTAGACATCTTGTGGGGACTCGGCAGGCATGAGGTTAACCTGGTGAGCGCCGGTGATGTCCCTCCCCAGAGCGGCGTAGTGTTGCAGTCCGTTGCACGAACCATCCTGCGTACAGAGAAAAACAAAGTCAGACTTTTGTTCCATTGATGAAGGTTAGACATCCAGGTAAACAATATGCAAAGACTGTGATGAAATTTT